ATGTTTTCTTTTCTTAATACATGATACTTGCATTATTAAACCACCAATTTGGGAAGATGTGTAAAAAAAATAAAAAAATAAAATACTAAATATTTCTTGCAGAGTGATGTTTTATTTGTTAATTTTCTCTTATGAATTCAAAATATAGAAAACCCAACAATTAAAGTTGCATTGAGGAATCCAGCCATTAAAGTTACAATTATTTCCTTGGTTGTAGTTCGCTCTTACTTATTCACCTTCAGCCATTAGAGATGTAAATGCCCTTATGTTGCACTTGGATTGGGATGAATTTATAATAAGAGGTAGGGTTGGATTTGATCTGAATCTTAGGTTGCATTCGGATCGTGGTTAGACCAATTCTTGTACTGTCGGCCGGGGGGGGGGGGGGGGGGGGGGGGGGGAGGATAGTTCTTCCCCACAAATCAGCAAAACAAATGAATCTAAAATCACAAGGGGTTTAACCAAAGTTGACCAAATGACCAGTTAACACTTTACGAGCCAACCAACTAGTAGCTTGATTCGTCTCTTGAAGAGTATGCCTGAAGTTGATGTTTAAATTGAACATGGATGAGAGGCTTAGGCATTCCTTGATGATGCAACCCAATGTCCAGGGGGCTTCACTCTAACGCAGTCTATGATGATCTTTGAGTCTCCTTCAATGATGATCAATTGGTTCTTGAAGTTAGTTCCAATGTTGATGGCTTCCCATGCCGTTCAAGCTTCAGCAAGATTTATCGTTGCAGATCCAATGCTATAAGCCTTAATCTTAAGGATAACACCCTGATGATTCCTTAATAATATGTTATTGTTTTCAAATAGAAATTAAGGCCCTGTTTGGCATCACTCTAGAGAATCAATTCTGATGATTCTCTTGATTTTTTGTAGTTTTTTTTTTTCTTTTGTTTTGGCTCAAAGTAAGATGCAGGTTTAAGTCTATTAATTTTTGTAACTACAATATAGTATGATATTAATATGATATTAGCTTTTCGAATGGATCGAATTGGTTCATTTGGGTTAATAGTGGACCATCATTTTTCAAAATTTTGAAAAAACAAGGTAAAACATGAAGACACAACAAGGTTCCAGTTTGAATGGTCTGATCATCAATCTGGTGCAGCTTAAGCCTAAGTTTGACAAAACTAGTTTAGTCCATAAAATTCATTCAAGGCTGCATTTGGCATTCCTAATTATTTTAAGGACTTGTCTACTTTTTGCAGTTGAAAACTCAATGTTTATAGAAGCATTTCAATAGTAAAAAGGAGAAGTCTTTAAAATAAGGAATGCCAAATGCAGCCTAAAAAGGGAGGGAGCGCAAAAAGCTCATTAGTTCACCAATTCATCAGTTCAACCACCAGGTCTGAATTGATTTTAACAACACTAATCAAAAGAATATTGTCTATGATCATATGTAACATGGTAGTGTAATTCTGCAATGTAAGGCAAAATTAGCCCAAAGAAATGTGAGAAGAGGAGCTTTTCTAAGTTCTAACTGCTTGAAACTTCGAATTATGTAAGTCTTATTAGTTTTATTGGTATTCATTTAGAGGGTGTTATATAAAATGGATATTTTTCTTTTTATTTTATCTTAAAACTTTCACATTGGAAATAAAAATAAAAATAGATTATTAAACTGTGTTTTCGTTCATTTACAGGGTGGTTCAGTTGGTATGTCAGCTGGTTTGTTCCAATAGAGATGGAGATTCTAAACGGCTCTTTGTGCTTCTACTTTTCGATAGGTGGCAATTGTGCCACCTTTAGATCCTTATGCCAGGTTTCACCTATTTTTGTATTTTTATGTTAAATTGATTTTATTTTTTCTTATACTACCTTGGTGGGGCTTTTCCAATTCTGTTCACCTGAACTTACGTATGGTTATTCTTTTTCAAAGAGAGGGTGAGGATTAGGGGTGGCAATGAGTCAAGTTTTTCACAAGATGATAGAGTTTGGCTCGTGAAAAGCTCGGCTCGGTTCAGCTTCAATCGAGTTTAAGCTCGAGTTCGAATCTAATTCAGTGGCCTGATTATTAAACGAGTTAAACTCGAATATATATAATAAAATTATAGAAAATAATATATATATAATAAAAATATTTTAATTATTAATTTTTATAATTCTTAATTTTTTAAATTTAAAATAAATTTTTTTATATAATTTTTATTTTTATAAAATATTTTTTTCTCAAAATCGAGTTCGAGCTTATGAACTTTTGACTTGAGCCGAGCTCGAACTCAAGATTCTGGTTTGAACCGAGCTAGAGCCTTATAAAATAGTCTCAAGACGAGCTCGAGCCTAGTACTATTCGACTCGGCTCAGCTCGAATCCACCCCTAGTGAGGATGCCCTTCACTTTTGCTTAAGGGTGCTGCTACATCTGTTCCTCGCTGGACCTTGCATGAGGATGCCCTTTACTTTTGCTAAAGTCATTAGGGCTGCAATTGAATCAAATATAGATAAATCCAAATTTGATTCATTTATATTTAAATTTGAATTGAATGGAATATTATTAATCAAATTTATATTGGATTCAAATCAAAGTCCATTTGCAATTGGACATTGAATAGTATAAATACGTTAAACTGAAAATGATCAAAATATTATATAATATTATATTTCATGAACAAAATAAATTTTAAATTATTCTCATAAAAATTGAACCTATGACAATTTAGTAAAAGCAAAATACCCAAAATGAATCGAATTATGCTGAATTGGATAGAGATGGATCCATAATCAATCCAATTATTTTATTGTTAAGTGTACATCATAAAATTATAAACGGAAGGAATTCAAATCACCCTTACTAGATCGGATTCAAATCTGAATTTCCAATACCATTTACAGCCTTAAAAGCCATATATGTTTCTTTCAATCGCTCTCTTATGCTGATGTCATTGGCTAGGAAAAGGCAACTCTGTTTTTTTAGATCCCTCTTGTTGTAATTGGTACTTTGGTAGTATCTGTTGTAGAAGAGAGCTGGGATCAAATCCCCTTGCCACTAGGGGCAGAGCCATTTTATTGAGTGGGGAATGGGGATCCTTGGCCACCCAAACCCATGACCAGTGGCAGCCCACTCCTTATACCCACAACCAGGTTGGACTAATCTTAGCCCAGCATTAAAGTCAAATAGGATTTACATTTTTTAATCCGAGAAATTTCAAATCAAACTTTAGGTACACTATAGAAAATCCGCCACTGGCTGCCACCAAGGTTGGGGGGCTAAGGCGGTGGGGATGGGTTACCCTCAATTATGCAGACTCATCAATAAAAAAAAAAAAGGTTTAATCTTTAGCCCATAGAGAATAGTTTAAATTCAGTTATTTAGCATGGATTCTTATTTCATTCAGCTTACAATAGATTGGTTTGAATTCTGTTTTTAGATCTATAGTACATCTTGGCTTCATTTTGGGAGCTTTTTCTTTTCTTTTTTAATTTCCCCATGTTTTTTTCTTATATTTTGTGGCATTGTTTTTGGGACTTAGCCTTTCATACCGACAACCCATTTTCATCCCATCTAAGCCAAATTTTCTCTCCAATTATGTACATGCATTACCCTATTTTTCATTTCACTATTAGTAATTTTCATGATTTAATAGTTCATTTAAATCCACTTGACTTTTCATTATAACACTTAATGATATAAATATGAATATAATTTTCTTAAAATCCAAATTATCTATTTTTAAATATGTTTGAACTATTAAACAATCAAATTAGTCAGGACCCATTAAACTTTAAAAATCACACCATCCCAAGCAAATTTGTGAGAGAAAGGAAGATCGATACATGGTGGCATCCTCATCCATAATCTTTTGAAAAAAAAAAAACATATCCACTGAAATGAGCCCCTTCTCTTCTTGGGTGTTCCCTGTATCAATGAGAATGCCCACAGATTGAATCTTCCAATCTTTCTCTCAGATGGGTCCCATCTCTCTCTCCTGTTCTTTGTTATAAAAAAAAGTGGGTTCCATCACTCTTTGCTTTCTAATAAGGTAAAAAGTGAGTCCCATCTCCAAACATCAGCCCAATTCATCCAAATATCAGTATTTACACCACGGACCACTAACATGGAAAGAGTGTTTGGACCCCTCAATGATGCTTAGCTGCCATTTCCAATTACAGTCCAAACAGCCAAATAGCCAATCCCCTCGTCAGCGTTGAAACGGGAAAATCCAAGCAAGGAATCCAAACAAACCCTCGTTTTCATTTTCCAGGCACTTTCTTTCCTTCCCTTTCCTGTCATTTTCCTCTCGTGATAACTACTAATAAATGATAAAACAAACAAAAATCAATTAATTTATTTTTATGAGAAGAAAATCAATTACCCCAATTTATTTAACCGCGTGATTTTTAACTCAAATTAGTATATTTATCAAACGAGGAGTCAATCCCGTACAAACTACAAAGTACTTGGTCCTGCTAACAATAAATAGAAGCTTTACGGGTCCCACTCCCGATTCTTGCCACGTGTGACCATCCAAGTGGGTTCGACCTCCTCTACTGAACCCAAGCTGGCAAAAGAGGTAGCTAGAGGGAGAGAAGGACTCGGCAGTCGAGGAAAGGAGCACCGCCCGATCTCCAACCCCAAGCCAAGAGATAGAGATGGAGAGAGAGATAAGCAACCGGGATAGCCGGGGAAATCCCAGCTGTCCCCCAGCTCTTCTCCAAGTCAATGACCGGTTCAACAGGTTGTCTAGTGGGTCCCACATTCCTAGTAATTAATAGTCAAAATAATAATGAGATAGTATTAAAATAGTACATCTCCGGTTTCCCACTTCTTTCAACTAACAAATTGTAGGGCGCCCATGTTCTTTCCCATTTTACTAATCTTTTATTTAGTTATTCCAAATTAAACCCTCAAAATTAAATAATAAAGAATTTAAACCGTTTGATCAGATTAATCTCTCATTCTGCCTTATCTAAGCCAACCGTTCGATCACGTAATGCATTCACGCGTAAACTCGTCTCTTCTCGTGGGGCATCCCCTATAAATAATCCTTTCTTCCCTTCCCCCCTTCGGCAGGTGCAGAAAAGGAACATCTCTTTCAAGCCCTTCATTTCTGCATCTGTTCGACTGTTCCTTCTGCATCCTATTGGTCTCAACCAATAATCAAAACGAAAAAATAACCAGAAAAAAAAGAATTTGGAGCGAAAATGCCGTCGTTGGACGATGAGCACTTCCCATCCACGCCGGGCAAGGTGAAGGGCGAGAGAGCCCACGCCATGAATCGTCAGTTCCATCGATGCTTCGCTTCCACCACTACTATGTTCCTCTGGGCTCTTTTCTTGATCGCTTTGACAGCTTCTTACCTCAGTTTTCAGAGCTTCGTTGACACGGGTAGTCGCTATCTCACGGCTTCTTGGGGCGGGATTCAATGGGAGAAACAGGTCCGAACGTCTGCCGAGATCCGCCGGTCCGGTGGGTTTTCCGTGCTTGTCACCGGCGGTGCTGGATTCGTCGGCACCCATGTGTCTCTTGCTCTCAAGAAACGCGGCGATGGCGTCGTGGGTCTCGATAATTTCAACAATTACTATGATCCATCTCTGAAGAGAGCGCGGAAAACGCTTCTGAACAACCATGGCATCTTCGTCGTCGAAGGTGACATTAACGACGCCCGCCTCCTGGCGAAGCTCTTCGACGTCGTGGCGTTCACCCACGTTATGCATCTCGCTGCGCAAGCCGGTGTCAGGTACGCCATGGAGAACCCTCATTCCTACGTTCACAGCAACATCGCCGGTCTGGTTGCTCTGCTCGAAGCCTGCAAATCGGCGAACCCCCAGCCGGCAGTCGTCTGGGCGTCCTCGAGCTCGGTTTACGGGCTCAACGAGAAGGTTCCCTTCTCCGAGGCCGACCGGACGGACCAGCCGGCGAGCTTGTACGCGGCGACGAAGAAAGCCGGAGAAGAAATCACTCACACATACAACCATATCTACGGTCTATCGATCACCGGGCTGAGATTCTTCACCGTCTATGGTCCATGGGGCCGGCCCGACATGGCTTACTTCTCGTTCACCCGAAACATTCTGCAAGGAAAGCCGATAACCGTGTACCGGGGGAAGAATCGGGTCGATCTCGCCCGAGATTTCACCTACATTGATGACATCGTTAAGGGTTGCCTCGGGTCGTTGGACACGGCGGGTAAGAGCACCGGTAGCGGAGGCAAGAAACGCGGACCAGCACCGTATCGGATCTTCAATCTGGGTAACACATCGCCCGTAACGGTACCGACACTTGTTGGAATTCTCGAGCGGCATCTGAAGATGAAGGCGAAGAAGAACATCGTGGATATGCCAGGAAACGGTGACGTACCGTTCACGCATGCTAACATAAGCCTGGCGCGCATGGAATTCGGGTACAAACCCACGACCGATTTGCAAACCGGGTTGAAGAAGTTCGTTAGATGGTACCTCAATTACTATGGTTACAATCACGGCCAAAGCAAACTTGTAAATTGAAATCTTTATTTTTTTTTCTTTTTTTTTGTTATAAGAAAAAAAAACTGGAAAAAAAAGACTTATTCTTTTCTTGGGGATACCGGTGAAGCCGCGTATCCTCGTTAGTTTTGGGCTTTCTGTAAAAAGAAAAGTTTCGTATTCTCTTAGTTCTTTTGTCATCCGATACGTCCGATACGCCTTCTTTTTCTTTTTTTTTGCTTTTGTTTTTGGTTTGTCTCTCTTTTTCCGGTAATCTGACGGCAGAGATCTTTCGGCGGATTTTGTTTGTCTCATTTTTTGTTTTTGGGTTCCAGATAAGAAATTATTATTGGTATTATTTAATTTAATGAAGCGGGGCCCACGCGGAGGTGGACAGGTTAGATCGAAGGGAAAGCTGGTATTCCGTGATTTACGGCTCAGGATGGGGGACCCAGAGGAGCACATTGGACGTGGTACGGCGTCCATCTGATTGGTGGAAGTACTAATTCTGGATAGAGATCGCTGGGACTAATCCAGCTGTAAAGTTGTGGGCGTCACTGTAGTTAAGTTCTCGCCGACAGCGGAAGTTTTGTGAGGACTGGGGCACTGGGGACAAAACAAACGCCATGTAGATGGGCTCCGTATTTGTTGTTTATGGACCTGGATCTGGACCTGGGGCCCTGGGCTTTCCTTAACTATCGTTAGTTTGCTAGCGATACCCACGGCCCATTGCACTCTGTACCCCACGTGGTGCGTTCAGAATGGCCCAAAATGAGATGTGATAAGATATTTCCTGTCTCTTCATTTAACAATGGAACTTTGTGATAGCTTATCGGTGAGGATTGACACGTGTGGATGCATGTGTACAGAACGTCGGTATTCGGTAGGGTGGTGACAAACGGAGGACGACGATGATGATAATTCCTTGGGGCCACATTGGGCATTTATTCTCGACTCTCTCACAGAATGTTCATGGATTGCTTTGGCAATAATTGCCTTAAGCTGTGTTTGGTTTGATAGAAAGTAAGACGACAATAGGAGGACTTTGAGGGAAAGCTCTTAAATATGCAATTTCACACCAAACATAGCTTTAGAGTACATTATTTAAGAAAATGAATTTATTAATTTTAAAAATAATAAAAATAAATTTTTATTGGCATATTATCTAAAACTTACCATGAGTGACTTTCCCAAACATCTAAGAGAGCTTAAATGAGATTTTGTTGTCTAAAACTTACCTTCTATTACACCATCATTAGTGATCATTAAGGAAATTTGTCCATTTAAAGCATTTATGTAAGTTACATGACTAAATTACCCTCAGTCAACCAATACGGTAACAAAGATATTTTGAGGCTTAAGCATAATCATGGGCTGCTTACTTTGTAGAATTCGATGGAAAAGGCTAAAACAGTAAAACCCAAAGCCTCCTCTAGGCTCTTACTAAACAACCTGGTGAATTTTGATGGTTGCATTTGGAATCAAATTGCTCCCTTGAAACCGTTGCAACACAAGTTTCCCATTCTCATGGCATTTATTCAGTGAAAAGCATTTTTGTTCATTACCTCTATTTATTAGTTGCTTCTAACGAACAACAGTCTTCATGAGAAGAATTGAGGGAGGATTAAAATAATTAGTCGGGTCATTACCTTCCATTACAGAAATGGGTAAAATAGATAAATAATTAAATAATTATCTTTTCTATTCAGGTGGTGGATTAGTGGTTCAATAAAATGGGTAAAATGAATAAACCCATTATATCATAATTAAATAATCACAATATAAAATAGATAAAATACAAAACATTACAGAAATTATAAGGGGCCAGATACATGAAACCTGTTTTGCCATTCTGTTTAGTTTAGTGCTATCTTCATTGTTAAATATGAGTGCATAAATCATTCCTTTTTGCAAAAATAAAGTGTAGAGTTGTGGAAATGATTAAAACTGCAAAATAAAAAAAAATAAAAAACACAAGAATTTAATATGACGAATAACCCATTGAATGGATTGAGCAATTTAATGGTTCAACCCAACCTAACCCAAGTTGCACCTGTAATAAAAAAAAAAAAAAAACTTGCTTCCATCTCCTAAAACTAATAATATTTCTTTCAAATCTCACAAATACATCAAAAATAACAAATCTAAAGTTGAAATAATTATAAATAAGTTATAAGTGCATAATAAATGTAAACTTCCATAGTTGATATAAAGAAATGCATTACAATACTGGAAGTCTAAAACAAATACATATCATACAATAATTTTACATTTTTACTAATAAGTAATAGTACTTCAAACAATTTTTGAGATTCCAATCTACTAAAAATTTCACAAGACACTACATTGTTATCGGACCAATGAGTTTGATATTTCATTGATAAGTCCATCTTATAGTTCTCCTTACGATGAAAATTATTTAGAATATAAAATATATAATTTTTAATTTTTTAAAATTTTCTAAAACTTAAAAAAAGTTCATTTTTTGCATAATTTATTTTTAGATCGATGAATTTAAAAAATCATTGACAAATCCATTTATAAATCATTCCTACAATGAAAATCATTTAAAAAATAAAAAAAATATCATTTGTAACCATTTTTTCATTTAGCTTATTGGCTACTCCTACTATAGCAATTTGTACCTTTGTGCTACAGCCTATAGGTAAGTAATGCATTAGTACCTTTACTTTATCAAATAAGTCAAGACCTAGATACTAAATGTGTTAATTGTGGGTACAATAAAAAAATGCAACTAAACTGAACTACCCCTACCCAAGCTATTTAAGGTTATGTATATGCATCTGATTAATCTGATTTTGCTATTCCACTCCTTTAATGGTTATATTTTACATCAGATAAATCACCAGTCCTCATTGTCATACGTTGCCCTTTGTAGAAACTTCAAATTGCACTAGATTATTCTTGTTTTTTGCTGCAATTGATATCTAGACATGATAAAATCATCTCATTCGACTTCCCTTCATCTTGCCACTTATTGGGGGCTCTTTGTAAGAGTCCCTCTTTTTCTAATTTTGTATGTCCATAGTTTTGCCACTTTATGCTTATTCTACGGAAGTGTTGATGCAAAATGAATGTTCAAATCAAGCAGTTAGTGATTTATTTGTTCTTTATTGACACCGAAGCTTGCAATGAGTGTTGAAGGTTGAAGATGTAAACAAAACCAAAACAAGTATATGTGATTATATTATATAAATATATTTCCGTATGTATTATATATGCATATATAATATATTTCTGTAGTCATTCAATTGGGCAAAAGTTAAGATGTATAAGCCTTTATAGTTTGATGATTCACATATGGACAGATGTATGACAAAAATTAAACTCTAGAATACTTGATAACAAGAAAAAATGAAGTAAACATAATATGACATTCTGGAATACAATCTGCTACATCCATGCGGGTCTAACAGTAGATCTGAATGCATATGGATGACAATGCTTGGGTGTATACAATTTGACAGGTTGAAGAGCCAGCTCTATCAAGTTCCAAATATGGAATTGAAGGAAAAGAACTGCTCAATGCTTGTGTTTCAAGAGAACATTTAATGTTAATAAGAACTCATGGGTGTATACTTTTAAAATTGTTCAGGTGAGTGATATTGGGTTGTTTTAACAGAGTGAAATGGGGTATATGATATAGCATTATCCATGAAGTAAGGTACCTATGTTAATAACATATTTCCCTTTTCTGTTGCATAGGAGTTTGATTAGCTTGGAACACCTAGAATCAGTCTAGAACAACCCAAATTAAAAACTCAGAGCCAACTAAGGTCATAGGTGTATACAAAATCAGTTTCATGAGATTGACTTTCAACCATCTGATTTTGACATTCTACATAGAACTATTTTCACTTTTAGAGAAACTTATCTCTTTGAATGCAGTAACAGCAGTGGGCTGTTAACGTTCTGTACAAGCTGATTTTCAGCCATGTTAATAATATATTTCCCTTATATGCTGCATTGGAGTTTGATTAGCTTGGAACACCTAGAATCAATCTAAAACAGCCCAGCTTCAAAAATCAAAGCCAACTAAGGCCATGAATGCATAAAAAATCAGTTTAATGAGATTAACTTTCAACCATCTAATTTTGACATTCTACATAGAACTACTTCACTCTTAGAGAAACTTATCTCCATTTTTTGAATGCAGTAACATGAACGGTTTACATTTTATACAAGCTGATTTTCAGCCTAATGGGTCTCCCAATTTAGGTCCCGCATCTGGTGTGTTGAAATGCTAGAAACATGTGACAGGTGGCAAGTTAAGATAGTCCAAGAGGACCAAGATATTGTTGTTTTTTTTTTTCAATTTTTAACTTGTATTTAATGCCTAAGAAGCTGTTTATGTTTGAGAAAGTATGAATATTAATTTCGGGCCGAATGACACGTCTTTTTGGGAAGATCTTCTGGTAGCTCTGACAGTCAAAAGAAGCATTGAGCTTTTGCATGAAGATCTGAGAAGCTCGAAGTACGTTTGGTAGACTCGAGTCTTTCCGTGCGAGAATAAACCGTAAAAGATGCGAAAAGCTTCATTTGGAGTTTCCCAAAATCAGCCCAAAATGGGCTTTTCGCATCTTTTCGACGTTCCAACTCTTGGCAGTTTGATCTTCTGTACCCCAAATGGAAATAAACTGAAAATCGGTCTTTCCGACTTATAAAGAGGGAAAAGACCACATGGAAAGACTCGCCAAATGCAGCCTTATATTATAGTATTAGGTGACACTTATTATATTTTAATTTGATAGTTGAATTATATTTTTTATTTATGGAGGTATTCATGTCATTTGGGATTTCTAATTGGGTTAAGTCCAATAGAATGGACCAAGCCATTTCAGAAACTGGATCAAATCATAAATCATCCATAATAGAAGATTTGGTTTCTATACTAAAATAGTTTAGTTTGGTCTAAAGATTTCTGAAACCGTAATTTATTGATTTGGCTAAGATCTTCTCCAAACTAAACCGGACCAATGAACACCTTAATTTACAAGTCCCATATCTGCTATCTTTTGCCTTTGCACTTTGCAAATATGCATTTGTTCTCTTACCAAACGCAGCCCTAGATAAAAACTTTTGTAAAGGTTTTATTTCACATACCATGTGTAGACCTGGACCCAACCCGTGAACCCGATTCAACCCAACCCAAAAAAGCAGGGTTAGGGTCTCATATTTAACTACCTGAATTTGAAAATGACCCAACTCGACCCAACCCGGAAAAAACTGGGTTGGGTTATAGGTCAACCCGTTAACTCGATTGTCAAGTCTAATTGGGACTATTTATACAGTGTTAGAAGTTTCCACTCTTTAATTTTTTTTATTTACTCTTCACTCTTTAAATTGTTAAATGTTCAAGTTCTTTTATTTTATATTTGGAATTTTAAGGTTAATTCCTTTAATATTGGCATTTTTCATATAGTTTTTCTTTATTTTTATAAATTCTAGTTATTTTTTGAGATAACCCAAATTGACCCATGGATCAACCCTAACCCAAACATTTAGGGTTAGGGTCTAACATTTGATAACCCAATCCGAAATTCAACCCGACCGAGAATCAACCCGAAGTGTCCATGTGGTAAGTGCCTATGTCAGTAATTTTCCTTTCCTCAAAGAAATTATAGGAACCCCAATGGATAATTTGAATAGCGTATGGAATTCCTCCACGTGGCTGAAGATGTGGGGCGCTTTAGCATTATTATTGTTCAACTCACTTGTTGCTGGGAATGGGAATGGTGGCCCACGGGCCAATAAGGCCCAATGCCAAGGTTGGCACTCGTTCGACCCAGCCCGGCCAATTTCCGCCCTTTTTCCGTCTACAGACAGAGAGAGACGGAAAGTGAGAAACGATTAAACGAATATACAAACGCTACAGAGGCCCGGGGGGAGGTTCAGAAAAAAGAAAAGAAAGAAAGAGATATGAGTGGGAGCAGAGTAGTCTGCAAATCTTCACTCATCCTCCCTTCCATCGCTTCCACTGAACTCGTCAGGTTCAATACTCCTCGAAAACCCAATTTCACTACGAAGTTTCTTCGAATGGCAACCGAAGCATCTCCACTCAACAACAATGATATCAGCAACAGAGATGCTTCTGTAGCTGCAGCTTCTGCAAATGGAGACGCAGCTTCCACCTCTTCTTCTTCCAAGAAAGAATGCTCCACCTCCTCCGCTTCTTCTGCTATCGATTTTCTCACTCTCTGCCACCGTCTCAAGGTATTATGGGTCGAAAGCTGGAGCTTTTATTGGGTTTTCATTCAATTGCTTTGCTTTCTTTGCGAATTTGAGGAACGCAAAAATGGAAAAGTGCACGGGAAGCATTTTTTTGGTTCTTGATTAATTGAATTTGGATTTGATCAGACAACAAAGAGAGCTGGATGGGTTCGTAGGGGCATTAAGGATCCCGAATCCATAGCCGATCACATGTACCGAATGGGCGTCATGGCTCTCATCGCTTCAGATATTCCTGGCATCGACCGGGACAGGTTCGGGATTTTGTCTGTTAATTTTTGGATTTTGGATTGAATTGTTTCCTTTTATCTGCCTTATTTCTAGAAATGTAGAATGCCTGTTTTTTTTTTGATCAGTGAATGCCTGGTTGTTGTTTCTTGCAGATGTTTAAAAATGGCAATTGTACATGATATCGCCGAAGGTGAGAAGCTGCATCTTTTTTATTTTATAACTCAAATTTCTTTTTTTGGTAATAAAAAAATATTTTATCCCAACTGCTAAGCTCTGTAACTTTACTTGGGCCGGGTCTTTCCATTGTTTAAACTAAAATTCGTTCCAAATATTTCTGACCATGGAATGTTGGTTATATTATTCTAATTTGGTCAAGACATCAGCACCCAGATTATGTCTAAATATGTTAAAATTACTAGCTTTAACATCCTTTTGATACAATCATACAGGAAAAAATATCTAGAGGTAAAGTTTGGTGGTGCCAGTGTTTTAAAAGCACAAGGCGTAGGAAAAGTGCAAGGGGCTTTTTGCATGTGAAGTGTGCACCTTTTTGAAGCAAAAGATGCAAAATTTAAAAAGAATTTAAGATTAACTTAAAAATAATATTAAGTTTTAGAAAAAAAATGCAAACTTGAATTTTAAAAGAAACTAGATGTTTTAAAAAGCGTATGGGCTCAAATTATAATATATAAACATAATGTATAAAACATATTCAAACTGTAAATGTAGAAATAAAGTCAAACTAAAACGTATTCAAGAACTCAATTCAAGTATGCGAAACTTTTAACCTATTTATTTCTGTCCTAATTGTATTAATTCAGGTAGCTACTGTGATGTTAAACATCTTGTATTTGTAATTTTGTGAGACTGATCCTTCGTGCCTTTAATCCATCTCCTTGAGGCAAGTCCATACGAGGGTTCTTAATTTTTGGCCCCATATATAAAGAAATTAGTTTTGTAATTTTAGGATTATGAATCAAATGTAATTTGATAAAGAATGTTTTGTATTAAGAAGGATAAGAGAACAACAATAGCAAGGGGGGGGGTGTTGTTTGTTGGGAACCACTTAGCTGAAAAAGTGAACAACTAGGTTGAAACACCTAGGTCCACTAGATGCACACCTTTCAAAGGGACTGTGCTTGGGCTTAGGCAAGACAAATACCTTGAAATATGCCTTGCTTGTGGGCCTGGGCATGTCTTTTAAACCACTGAGTGGTGCCAAGTGGATTCTCTAGTTATTAACATAGTCAGGTGGTGTGTTTTGATTCATTCTCGACTTTGAGTTATTGGATTCCTCTTTGGTCAGTAAAGGAGGGGCCTTGCATGCCCCAAGGCTCTTAGGTTCTATTGGAGGACCTTTTGGATCTCTTTATGAACTTTCTAGTCCTCCAAAACTAGTCAACCATGTGGAGCACATCATGGTGGTCTTGATAGATGGCCTAATGAATCCATTACCCCCCAAAGAGTCTTCTCAAAGAGAGGCTATTAGATGCCAATATCTGCATTGCATCCTAACTTTGACCGGTAAATATTTGTTTTTTCTTTTCTATTCTTTTGATAAGTAAAAATGAATTTTTATTAATAAATGTGCAGTCAGTACAAGCATCCCTAGGAGAGGCACAAGATGTGACCTCTGTTCATATTCAGCTCATTTGCAATATGAACTCCTTGCAGAACTGCACACATTTCAGCTCTAATAGAGTCTCCCACTTCCACTAGTCCTAAGAAAAGAACAAGGACATGTCCTTCGTTATCCCTTATAACCCCTCAACTCCTGAAGAGCCTGGATTACCTTGGCTGCTCATATCAAAATTCAGTTTTATAGACCCTTCTAAAGGGGGCTTCCAAATTGTGTTTATTTTTTCCTTTCTAGAGGAACTTCTTGCCACCTCACTCCAATTCCTCCAAAGGTCATTAAAAGAGAATAGTGAGAACAAACTTTTTAACCAATGGATTTCCCTCATCAATATACATTCTTTTACCGATTCCTAGCTTCTTTCCTTTTCTAGGAATATTCTTGCATTCCTTTCTTCCCATATGGTCCAGATTAAAGCTGCTCTTGTGCATCTGTACACGGTTCTTCCCCTTTTCTTAAGCCACAAAAAAGTAGAAGGATCAAAGAGGAAATTTACCTCCTTTGAAAAGAAAACAATCATTTCCAAATATTTGTAATGAGATTAACAACTCTCTCTGTTGGATTTGCAAAGAATACACCAATTTGGAGATAAGCATAGGAAAGGTCTTCTTTTTTGCTAGGTGTCCAAGGTATTAGCCTGTTGCAGGAAAACCCAAGAAAACAGATTCGAAATGGCACTCAAATGAAAATAAAACAGAGATAAAGAGAAAGCAAGCACAGAGAACACACAAATTTACGTGGTTCGGCTTATAGCCTACATCCACGGGCGAAGGAGGAATAGAAATCCACTATGTAGTAGGTAATGGAGAAGAAATACAGAGTCGTGCTCTCACATTAAACCCTAAGCCCCAAATACACCCAATGTCTCACTCATCTCTCACAAGACTCAGACTTTTGTATACAAGAGAGGAAACCCCCAAAATACATGACTCTTCGTATTCAGTTCGGACCTATAAGATGAATATGGGTTGGGTCCATACTACCGTGGGGGGCTGCGCTCCCGCACCCCCAATGGTGATTTGTTGTGGGCTACAGGCCCTACACATCCACCACAAACCACTATGAAATTTTGCCTTTGGGTTTTTCTCAAATTAATTTGGAGTGGATTCATGAAGCAGGTCGCTACAAAGAATTCAAGGCACAAACATAACATAGCCTTTCCATTACACTTCCCAACAAAAGGCACTTACTTTGTGGGGGGGGGGGGGGTTACATTAGACTTCAGTAGCATGGAAAACCTAGGGGGAGGCTGACTGGCAAAGAGACTGAAAAGAGGAGGCACAAGAGAAGGCACTCTTAGGATATGGGACCCAAATTCTTCTATCTTGTTTAGGAGGGTCCAAGTAGACCTTATTAAGTATTGCAAAAGGTTAGCCATAGCCCACTGAGTCGTCATCCCTTAACCCTCTACGAAAACCAAAACTCCAACTTTGACCTAAAGGAAGAATAGGAGGTGTAATGAAGTTTGAAATAGACACCTTTTTAAACATAGAGATAGGAAACAAGGAGTGAAACATGTCCTTGAGAGGAGAATTACCAAGCCACAAGCCTCCCCAAAACCATATAGAGTCCCCAGAACAAACTTCATACCTTATTAAATAAACCTACATTGTCACTTTCTAATATGCCATGAATACTTTAAATGACCTCATGCCACAATCTCTCCCTCTTTTTTTAGTATCTATTTCATTAAGATAAAAGGAAAGAACTTAATGAGGCCATTTACATCACAGGATAGGCCTGAGGAAACCAGGGCCATTGCCAAGGGATTGGTGGCCCAACAAAGATCCATCCAGAACTTAATGAGATTGCCATCCCCTAAACTGAAACTGATGAAGTTTGAGAATAGAGGCAAGGATTGGGTAATACCTTTCCAAGGGTGATTGGCCCAATGATGGATTAACTAAGAGCTATCCCTGCCTAAAGCGTCTTCACCAATGATGCTGCTGATTATAGATGCCTAGAGAGAATTAGGCTCCTTCATTCTCCATTGCCACTTCTTGAGCAAGGCTAGATTCCTTTCCTTTATGTGACCAAGCCCAAACCACCTTTCTTTGGCTTACAAACCAGCTTTCAGTTGACCAAGTGATCTTTTTCTTTCCTTCTCTACACCATGCCACAAGAAGCCCCTTTGAGGTTTCTTTCCAAATAGTTTCTCACCTTAGCATAAACTTTGAACACCAAGAGGAAATAAATGTGGAGATTGGAAAGGGTTGCCCTGATCAAGGTGAGTCTGCCCCCTTTAGAAATATAATTTTTCTTTCGAGTATCCAATCTCCTTTTGCATTTTTCAGTTATAGGGTCCTAGAAGCTAGAGTTCTTAAGATTGCCCCCAAGGACATTCCCAAATACGTAATTGGCCAGTGCTCAATACAACCCAAAATATCTTTTTAGTCATTCAAAAACTATGCTATATTCTTCACAATCTCTCCCTCTCCAAAGACCACTTTAACATCCATTTCCCTAGTAGAGCTATGTTCTTTCTTATTCACGCTTCCGATACCCAACCCTCCCTCTTCCTTACTTCTGCAACTTTTCCCATTTTTCCAAGTGATCTCTTCTTCTCTCTCCCGACTCCCAAAGAAAACCCCTCATAATTTTTTCTTTCTTGCATCCCTACAAGGTATTCTAATTTCTAAATGCTTTTTTTGTTCTTATGAGTAGTGCTTTGGTAATTGCATGGCACTTATCATACTTATAGCAATTGAAGCATTAAAACAAATATCCAAGTATATTTATAATATGATATCTATATTTGTTGTAAATGTTTTCTTTTTTATTGGTTATGATTTTTAGTTCTTATTAGGAGTTTATTTACATGTGCTAATTTTCCCTTATTTCTATTCATAAAAAAATCCCTTATTCCTGTATGGTTTGTGCATATCTGCAACCTCTCTCATAAATTGAACAAGCATGATCCAAACAAATCTCTCTCATAAATTGACTTACCATTAATGTCATAATGACCATATTCTACTCCTTGCTAGGCATCTTCTTGTATTTTCCGTAGAGACTGTATTGTACGTTTTTTTGGCTTCTGTATCATGTGCCCTGAAGCATTGTTTTAATTCGTGAATTGTGTTATTTCCTCTGCCTTCTTAATTCTTCTATAGCCATTGTTGGAGATATCACTCCTTCAGATGGGGTACCAAAGCTAGAAAAAAGCCGAATGGAACAGGAAGCACTTGATCACATGTGCAAACTACTTGGCGGAGGGTCAAGAGGTATTGTTTTTCTTTTAGTTGTAGTCAGTACTGTAGAATGTTCTGTGAAGGGTCAAGAAGTATTCTTGTAGGGACAAATAATTTATACCTCTGCTTGTTTTCTATCTTAGAAAATGATAGTCTGACAAGATAAGTAATTTTCATTTTAGAATCTTTTACTGTTCTAAATGTGGAAATTTGAAGAATAGAGCACTCTATTATAATATATTGTTATGGATCTGAACATGCAGTTACTAGGGAATTATATAGTCTTTTCACTAATTGAAATATAGTAGGAGTTTGGTTTTAATAAAATCTTGAACCTTTGCAGCAAATGAAATAAGGGAGTTGTGGATGGAGTATGAGGAGAATTCTTCTCCAGAAGCTAAGATTGTCAAGGACTTTGACAAGGTATTGTAACTTTCATCTTCCTATTTCTCTGTACCTTTGAAATTCTTTATACTTTAAACTACAAAACAATTGTCACTGTTATGTTCCTTGAGTGATTTCTCTACAATATTGTCACCAACTTATGTTATAATACTATCTCCTGTACTCCACATAGTGCTGGTAGTCTTTATTGGGGAATGTGTCGATTTTGGTAAAATTTCATATCGCTACTCATGGAAGTAGAGATGGAAATATGTTGTTGAAGCTATCTCTTGTACTCCACATAATGTTCATTGGGGAATATGCCAATTCCAGTAAAATTTTGTGTCGGTGCCCATAGAAATAGAAATATGTCGTGAAAGTATTAGAGAAATTAGTGACATTTTACACCATGCTTTTGAGTCTCCTTCAACAACCAATTTGCTACCATTTAGTTCCTTAGCCCTTTTTACACCCTCTAAGACTGCCTAGATTTCAGCTCAGAGCGAGTCCTCTTCCCCTATTGGCCCTACAAACAAAGCAGTTACTACACTATCCTCATTCCTGAAAACTCTTCCAATCCTTGAAGGCCCAGGGTTACCTTCACTATTGCTGTCAAAGTTCAGTTTAGTGAAACCTGAGGCTGGAGACTACAATTGATGGGAAATAGCTCTACTAGGAGTTGAGTCTGCCACTTTTATTTATTCAGCAAGGCAAAAGTAAAAAAAAAAAGGCTAAGATCTTCACCCAGTGAACCACTCTAGCAATGATTACCTCTATAATTACCTCCATACTCCTCTCCTTTTCAGGAAAAGATCTTTGGTTCTGTTCCTCCCAAATTGTCCAGAAAATCACAGCATTTTGTACATCTCCACAGTAACCTTCCCCTCGTCTTTGTCCAACTACCAATTTGTGAGATAAAGAGACTTTGCATGTTAGATGGAGGAGTCCACTTGCAACCAAACAAAGAGAGAAACCAATCCCAAATAGAGGAAACAAAGGGGCATGAGATTAATAAGTGGTAGCAAGATTCACCATTATCCTTACAGAGCAAGCATCAGTGAGGAGATAAGAACCAATAAGGCTCTTTTCTTTGAATTAGATCAGAAGTGTTAATTCTTTCCAAGAAGACTTCCCGATAGAAAGACCCAATCCTTGGTGGAACCGGTTTACCCCAAACATCCTTAATAGGAAAAGGTTGCCCATGACTATTTTGAAGGTTGAGCTAAAGCTTTGAAAAAATATACACAAATGAAAGTACCAGAAGGGGAAAGGGTCCAAATTCAGGAGTCCAAATTAGAGGGATCCAACACAACCTTTTGTAAAATTTGAAGTGTAGATGACGTGGGCTCCCGTTGGCGGATGGTTGAGTCTCTGAAGGTCCGGAGAAGGCAATGGGAAAGAGAGAGGACATGGGGAAGAGAGAAGAAGAGAGAAGAAGAGAGGAGAGAAGGGAGAATCCCCTTTTGAGAAACCCTAGGTCCAGATTCTCTCATCTTGTCTGTTTTTTAGGGAAGAGTTATTCCCTTTTATATAGAGAGAACCCTAAGGTTATAAGGAGAAGGATCTAAAAGGAGACCTTTCCTATTAGGAAAGGGGATCTTTCCTTTATGTTTGACTATTAAGGGAGCATTATTGGGGTTTTGCCACGTGTCCAGCGAGATCCTTCGAAGATAGGGTTTCCTTTCCCTTAAGGATTCTCTACGCATGCTACTTCTTTTTGTGGCCCTTTCATACTAACGTAGCGCGGTGATGTCGTTATTTGCATCGCTTGCCTTTACTAGGCCCACGAGGCGTCCCGTCACACGCGTAATTTAAAGACGCACATGTCTAAAGCTCATCACAAATTCACGCGTGTCTAAGATTCATCACAGATCCGTGTAGGCCAAAGCTCATCGCAACCTATTTCGGGTATGAGTTCATCGCAGATTTGCGATGAGTTATGAACTCATTGCAAACGTGCGATGGGTTATGGATTCATTGCAGGCATCGATGTAGTGTTGGTTTGACACCCTCTGTACTCTGATGGTCTTAGTGACTACTATGTACCTACATGAAGTAGAGCTAAGGTGTTGCCAAGGTCCAAGGCTCATTATCAAATCAGATTTGTGGAGGTCTTTGTGGAGTTTGCTGAGGATCATTTCATTAGTCCAGGGGTAAATTCTACCTTTCTAGCCCTGAGCTCTTGATACCTAAAAAGGGAGATTCCATCAAACCTAGAGATTTTAGGCCCATTGGTGTGACGAGCATCTACAAAATTGCAGCCAAGTGTTGTCTTTGAGGTTAAGAGTAACCCTTTCAAACTTAATAAATCAATTGAAGGGGCTTTCATCCAAGGAAGACAAATTATTGACCAAATCCTAATAGCTAATGAGGGGAGAGAAAGGATTTGTGTGCAAATTGGATTTGGAAAAAAAACTTATGACATGGTTGATTGGTTTTTCCTACTAGAATCCTTGAGGAATTATGGCTTTGGAGAGAGGTGGTGTAGTTGGATCAAAGGTTGTTCGAAAACTTGACATTATTCGGTTCTAGTTAATGTTGTGGTTAAAGGCTTCTTTCCTACTAGACAAGGGGACCCCCTATCCCCTTCCTTTTTACCTTGATAGAGCATATGTTTAGTAGACTTATGAGAGAGCTGATAGGCTGGATCTAATAAGAGGATGGAGCATAGGAAGAGAGGGTACAGTTGTAACCCATTTGTAATTCGCGGATGATACGACCATTTTTTTGTGAGACAGGGGATACACAAAAGGCAAGAAATTTGAAATGGGTGATAAAGTTGTTTGAACTTGTTTTAAGCTGAAGATCAACTTTGAGAAGAGTTTGTTGTGGGGCTAAACTTGGAAGACTAGGAGTTGGATGGGGTAGCGAAATCTTTTGGTTGTGCAAAGAAATTGGCAGCTTGGAAGAGTGATGTGTCTCTCGGGGGTCGTTTCACTTTGATAAAAGCTACCTTAGCGAACCTTCCAATATACTTCCTCTTTGTCTTTAGGATGCCACAACGAAAGGTGTTGAAAGTAGAAAAGATCATGAGGAACTTCTTGTGGGAGCCTAATGAAGATAGAAAGGATCATTTGGTTAGATGGGAACTACTGTGTAAAAGGAAGGAGTAGGTAGAGTTGGGCTTAGGTAACATGGGGAAGAAGAATACAACTTTGTTGGACAAATAGCTATGAAGGTGGCCATTGGAAAGGGATAGACTTTGGCATGATGTTGTGGAGAGTATTCATGGAGATGTAGGTAATGGTTGGGATGCTGGTGTATCTTGGCGGGCTACCTTAAACTCTCTGCGGAAGGCTATACATAGCATTCTTCCCTAGTTCCTTAGCTTAGTAAGGCGTGATGTGCTCTAGAGACAAGGTTCTGTTTGGGAGGATGTTTGGATCGATAACTCTACCCTCAAGGATCTTTATCCTTCTTTGTTTTTCGTTACTCTTCTTAAAAATTAACCTATTTGGAGATTTGTGAACTCTACTCATTCTTCTATTTTTAGTTGGAATTTGGGTTTTAGGAGAGACTTGAGAGATTTTGAACTCCAATGTGTTGCTTAGCTTCTTAAAATTCTCGACCCAATTTGCTTTGGCCCTTCTAAACCTGGTGCATGGGAACCAACTCTTTTGGGCTATGTTGTAACTTTGAGGAGGCGTTCTTTTTTTGGATTTTGAGAGGGGGGAAAGTTGGTCAATGGGACAAAAATACCCCTTTCAATAATGGATTTTTATGGATAAAATGGTAATTGCCTTATTTACATGGAAAATAAAAGAATATAGGTAAATGCACTTACCCGGGTAAGTCTTTCCCAGGAAACACTTACCCGGGTAAGTAACTTACTAAAAAGCGAACAAGGCCTGAGGGTTTTCTTGAGGTAGCATCTCGCACCTCTTGAGGGAAGCATTATCTATGTACTCCTTCATTGATCTTTATTAATTAATAAAATCATTTTACTTACCAAAAAAGGCAACTTCCCAATCCAATTATGTTCCCAAAATTTTATCATATTCCTAGAACACGTTTTTTTTTTTTTTTGGAAAAGGAAAAGTAATATTTATTGATAAGGAATTACACACAAGAGGCTGAGATCAGTCCCAGAACAGGCTGACTGATCAAACCAGCAAATACACTAACCATCAAGAGCTAGAAAAAAATACATCAGACACATTACAGTTTCTGAAATCTGCAGCCACAGACAACCAAGATATCAGCTTGCCCATTGACTTCTGAATTAACTCTTCCGAACTTAGAAACTTATTGCTGAAAATCCTCCTATTCCTCTCGGTCCAGATGGACCAAATTACAGCAACTGGAACCATCTTCCAAACAGTCTTCTTTTTCTTTCTCAAACCCATAAGCTGCCAGCAACACAACAGCTCTTTAACCAACCTTGGCATCACCCAACAAACCTTCAAAGAGCTGAGGAAATGGTTCCACAACTGAGCAGAATACGGACAATGGATACACAAATGATCAGTAGATTCAGCAATACTCCCACATAGACTGCAAAACAAGTCCGAAACCTGAATTCCCCTTCTCACAAGGTTCTCCTTAGAAAGACATTTATAAAGAGCCATAGTCCAAACTAGAAAGTTGGTTTTTGTTGGGCTGTTGGGATTCCACACTTGCCAATCTGGGAAATCAGGAACATCCCTCCTACTGAGATTAGCAGCCAAAGATTTAACAGAAAACACCCCATCAGAGTTCCACTTCCAATGCCACTTATCCTCCGARCTGTAATCCAACTCTTGGTTTTGAAGACAGGTCAACAGATTCACAACCTCTTCCACCTCCCAATCAAAAAGATTCCTTCGAAATGAGGGAGTCTGTTATGGGCCCGGGCGTAGGATCTCGTCACGGGTCGGTCCACGGGGAGAACCTCTAGTTTTCCCTTGCCCCTCCCTTTGCGTGTTGACCCTATCGTGGCGACCTAAGGGGTGATTTGTCCAAGAGATCACCCTAACTCTCCTTTACTCTTCTCTTTGACTGAAATTTTGGATGCCTTTATTCAATAATAGTGGCTCCTTAAATAGGAGATTACAAGAGTC